TATCAGTTACTAAAAGGTTCACAAAAATTCCATTTCACTATGATTAACACATGAATAAGACCTCAATGAGGATGAGTTTCTAATATACCAATAACTACATGCTAATATGTTATAAGGATGGTTAACTAATTATTCTGATTTATTCTCTATTAGCTAATTACTCTTATCATGTGCACATGATTAAGGCACATGTACATGAACCAAGCACTTACAGTCCCTACTTACTCAAGTATATACATCATTCTTGGATCCACATCAAGATATTTCAAATAGTACAATAATAATTTGTGTGGTAATGACAAAATGCTATATGACCTTTATGCCCTAGTTGTTATAATCAATACACTTTACTATAAACCATTTTGATTTCATTAAGGCTAATAAGGAGAAAGGTTAGTTTAGAAACTCATATCTTACAAGTATATTTGATTTCCACTATTGCTATGAAATTTTTTTAGTAAGTAATTTGTATGTGTATTATGATCCTTGAGACATAAGTATTTCAGTGTTTTTTAGTCTTAAAACTTGTCTTGACTTTGATAGATTCTTAGAATCCAACTCATAAACTTTTATTTACTATAAAAATAAAAAAATGAGGGGGGAAATTCACATAAATAATAGATTATCAACTTATTTAGAAAAATATTATTTTGTGAGAGTAGAGATGACGTGGATGTAAAGACCAATTGTTATTTGAAATCTTAAAGCAGTTAGAGTTGTTAAATATGTTACACTATTAAAATTAGAAGTAGTGGTTAATTGTGATTATTTCAATTAACATAAAAAGGAAAGAGTAAAATTTATTCATCAATTGAACAACAAAGTTCATTTGAACTGTACTCGAAACACAAGGAAGGTGTTTGAATCTCATTCAACAAAACGTTAGTAGCCAAATCTAAACATACTACTAATTAATATTTTATGGTCAGTTTGGGAGTTAGAAAAAAATTCAATGTTGGAGTAGGGGACTAGTGAAAGCAAACCTCATAATTGTGTTTCCCAACAGAAAAGTTAAGGTCCAAGGAATAACCACTTCCTCATGAGTCATTATAAAAGGTAGTTCAAAGTTCTAACCAAAGTGAAGGAGACAAATTAAAACAAACATAAACCCTATTGGCTTTTGTCTTGTTTCTCTAGCACTTGTTGTCTCAAGTGTCATAGCCCAAGAAAGAGCCCCTCATAGACTTGTGTATGAGAATCCCAAAGCCTTTCCACCATCAAAATATGGCTTCTTTCACCCCAATGCGAAAAAATTGAGACCAAAGACCCTTGTACTGCATCTAAATGTTCACCAATGCCCTTGGCGACACAAGTGGAAGCTACTGGAATTCATGAAAGCAAAGCCTCAACACATGAAAAAGGTGGCCAAAAATTATAGGAGCTAGTGGCATAGCAAGCATTGTCTTTGGTGTTACTTTTGTTGTGGTTTTAGGAATAGGGGTGTACCATGTGAGAGTCACACGCTGAGCCAACATGAGTAGAGCCAAAGCCAATGGTGCTGTTCAACTACATGCTAGACGTACCTTCTATTATAATTACTACAAAATCTCACCCTAGATTTATAATAGGGCATGTAATGTGATATACCTACCCCTCAACTTTGATTTCTTTTCATATTATCTTACGATTAAACTAATACTTATATGCTTTTATCTTCTACAATTTGTTTTGGTTAGCCAATGTATTTATCAATTGTTGTGAATTGTCATATGGGGATTAATTTCAAATTTGGGTCTTGCCTAACGATTATCAAGGTCAAGCGTTTCCAATTTTTTTACTATCTTATTAAATTGTTCAATGTTAAATATATTACAGAATTTTTGTAATGTTAAAATTTATATTATGAAGACTAATTCTATAATGTAAAAGTTTATATTACAAAAACTAATTTTTATAATGTGATCTTTTATACATTATAAAAACTAGTTTTAATAGTGTATTTTTCTATATTACCAAAATTGGTTTTGTAAAATATGTAAAAAGAGACAGATCAAAAGATTTTTTTTCTTCTCAAGATGACATTGAAGAGATGGTGGAAAAAGAAAGGAGAGAAAGACGAGGGAAAATAAGGATATTTTAGAAATACATTAAAAAAAACTGTTTTATGACTATTGTTCAGCCCAAGGACATGATACAATATTTTTTTTTGCGATTTATTTTATAAGTCGTGGTGTTTGTATACTTGATCTTGGTGAAGCGGAAATGGCTAGGAAGTGAAGTGAAGAGAAGATTACACTACATATTTCGATGGTAGCAAAGAAGAAATATCACATAAAAGCAAAGAAATACGCAAAGTTTGATGTTGAAAAACTTCTTTGCAAAAGTGAAATGAGATCGGATGGTAAGATGTAATATAATCGTGATGTTAATATATATATAGTTAGCATATCAACTGAGAGAGAATTTATTATGAGAGATGAGAGAGTTAAAATATAATTCTTAGATTAATTTATTCCTACTTGATTAAACTCTAAATTTTCTCTCACTTGATTAATTTAAGGATTATATTTTAACCCTCTCATCTCTCATAATAAATTCCCTCTCATTTGATATGCTCCTTTTATATATATATATATATATATTCTGTTTATTTCTTCTGAATTATTACATCACCCATTATATTATTATATCAATCGTTTTGTTTTCTTCATTCTCTCGAGGCATCAACACCCCCAAAAAATATCCAATAATCTTTTCCCGTATTTTAACTTGTTTCAATGAGTCAATCTGTTTATAATTTTATTATTTAAATGAGTAAATTAATTTTATGTGAAAAATTTTCTCCGTGGAACCTTTTTTTTCATCCAAGGCTGAAATTGTTTAAGACTACATTTTTATTTTATCTAAGACTATATCATTTAGAGACAAAACTTAATTATAATTTCTTATATATAATTCATGTTATTTTCTAATAAAAAATAAAGTTTTACATCAATAATATATCCTTGCACTTAATATTGATTTTATTAATATACATTTATGTTATTATAATAAAACTTTAATTTTAATGGAAAAACAACACTAATTACATAAAAAAAAAATTAAAATTTTACATCTGTGATATATATTTATATTTAATGTCATCAATTTTATTAATATATATTTTTGTATATTATCAAGATAAAATTTTAATTCTGAGTAAAGAATATAGTAACTTCACATAAAAAAAAGCTATACTTAAATTTTCTCCTTCTTTCAACCCTCAAATGCTCAAATAAGTTTTAGGATTTTACTTTTTACTGTAATTCAGATAACTGTAGTCCTGATAAAAAAAATCCATATAACTTGCTATATGGCATAAATTTACAACACAGAACAATCTTTTTGATCATTAATTAAGGCCAAAAGTTTTCATTCTCGGCATGTGACTTCCCTGCTAATGGGTTAATATTCGACCACTGCAGCCACTTCTTCTCATGTGATCTTTCTCTTCTGCTGAACTGAAAATTTTCGCTTACGGTCCCCACAAGTCAGCATCATGCAACAGACCACCACATTGATTCCAACAGTTCCATGGTCCTTTCTTTTTTTTAAGGATCAAATTCAAGGATGTTCCTCTCCTCATTAGTCATTACTCAACCACTTCTTCTTACCCTTTACAGTGAGAGATCGTTTTAATATAACAAACTTTTCAGCATGCACACGTATTCCCATGTTATTGGACACACAACACCTTCATTCTCAACTTAATAACCCAAATCAACGCAGAAAAATAAAAATAAAAAAGTAAGAGTACTCATAAACTCATTAGTTCCTAACAAACGATTATATTTCTTCCAGTAGGACAAATATATATAGCTATGGATTTTATTATAAACGCTGCAAGGGGTTCCTATTTTATTCAAATTGAAAAAACAAATGTTAAACCAGCACTGGTTTGTTATTCTATAAAAAAAACACTGAAATTCAACGCTGTTATTTTTCTTTTGATACATGCACACAGTAATCTCTTTCCAAAACTGAAAATCAAAAAGATTAATTAGTCAGCTAATCAAATATTATTTTAATACTATAAATTCAACCGTGCTCGATTCCAGTTGCATTTTCATTTGTTTTATTTGTTATATGTATAGTTTCGGTTTAAGTTATTATCCATTCTAACTATTTACAGCATGTTTGTAGCTGCAGCAAGGTGATAAAAATCGGCTTTTTTTTCAGTGTGAAAGTAAAGCAACAGTTGAGATGCTTCTCATTTTTCATGGTGAAACCGTGATTTTTAGTTGTTCACCGCGCAGGCAAACTCACACTTAAGCGGTAATAACATGTTTAGGGTTTTTTAGAAATTCAAAGATCTCATTCTCAACTAGCCACCACTCACAGTGGATATAATGATTTGGCTGAAATAACCATATGTGAATGAGATTGTCTGCACCATTTTTAGTGGCTTCTATCTGGGAAGCGGTCTTCTGTGGAAGCTGTTGGAGATCCCTGATCTATATAAACAAGGTTATAATGGTGTATATAAGTGGCGAATAATCTCCACTATACAAACCGTTGAATTAGACTTTAAATCACTTTTTTAAGATAGTATCAAAATCTATCACAAATGTTATTGGGTTAAAGAGCTTAGAAATAAGAATTTACACTGTAAGCCAAAAATAAAAAAAGACAATTACAGACAAATCTTAAAATAAAAAAATCTATATTAGGTCTTCAGCAATCGGCAACACTAGAAAGGCATGAACTGTGTAGGTTCTTTCTGTGTTGTTTGTCTCCTCTTACTGTTTTTGATATACAATGAATGGAGACCTTTCATTTCTTGGGATTATATTTATATCTCTTGAAGCAGTTCTAGACCGAACCTGAATTATCATCACAATTTTCCACTTTCTAGTTGTACTGTACTTGCTTTAGTCTCAACTCTTTCTAGAGATCTAAAATTCCCCGAGCTTTTCCTGACAATGATTATGTTTTTGGCTTTTGTAGTTTACCATCCTGAGAATCACCACTTTATGCTTTTGCCATAGTCCATACCACATTGCACTTTGCAGGACTAACAATGCTGTTACATGAAAAAAATAATTTTGCTTTTATAAAAATGCTTACACTTTGCTGAATCAGTGAATCTATTTTCATTTCCTTGCAGGTGAATGAGGATGAGCCTGGAAAATGATTCTGAAAACCAGTGGGACAAACAGGTAAATGGGGTTTGTGTAGGTTGAATATATTTTCTTGTTTTATTTGGAAAAGGCTTGGCTCTTGGTCCAGGTTTTGAGATTCCTTGGGAATATCTTGGGATTTGGAACATCTATCTTCCTGCAGTGGAAATTTGTGGGTTTAACAATGTTCAATAGAAACCAGCAATTCCACCTGTCCATTTCAATGAAGACAACCTGTTTAAAGCATTTTCCAGCTTTTCTTGTTGCCTTTCTTAGCTGGATATTATACTTATAGTCAACCAAGACCACTGTCACAATTTTTGGGAAGCTAATGCTAGAGACTAGACTCTTTCACTAACCTTCCTTTTCCAATCACTTTTACAATTACTTCCCTTACCGCTTCTACATTTCCTTGGTAAATATGTAACTTACTGCAGAAGCATGCAAAGCGTGAGTTCATTTCTTTCTCAATTTTGAAAGCTATATAAATCACTGTGCTCTGTCCCATTATGGTACCTCATTACATTTCTTGGTATGTTCATTTTACCCCCGTGCTATCTCTGGTTAACAATGCCACTTCCATTGTCACTTTGGATCTTGGTTTACTTTGTGGTGTCTCCATTATTGTATGCTAGTTTTTCTGTGAAATCTGACTGATACTTACTCGTGTTTAGCATTTGTTTTCGTTCCTTGAATATGTGCGTACCTTGTGTCACTTGAAGAGCTTATAAGAATGAGGGTTTCTTCTTATTATTTAATGGCTGTGACAGGCTGTCTTTTGTTTGGGGGTGGATCAGGGAAGTTTCAGAGGTGAGTTTGATGCCTTTGCTTCTGTAAACAACAAGCAGAAACTGAAACTGATAACTCATAAGGAGTTCATAGGGTGATGCATGTTTACAATGCGATTGCTATGGGGGCTAAGGCTGCCCCTGCTCATACTGATTCAACTTTTGTGCCCCAACAAATCAAGCTACGAGTTACATGGTAAGGTTTTGTTTTGTTTTGTTTTTTTTATTCTTTCTTTTATCATATTCATGAACAAGTTCTTTGTATCAAAAAGTTTTAGGGAACTCCAGTGAAAAATGAGTGAATTTGTCATGATCTTTTTTCTTAATTTATTGAATTCCAAGTGCCGCTGGCTTATTTTCATTTGCTTCTATGACATTATCTAGATTGACTCGGATAGAGTGCTCTTGATATATAATAAAAGTTTAATTATCTTTTTATTTTCTATACTTTCATAAACATTACTTTTTAAGTCCTTGTAAATTTGTAATTAAAAAATGTTCTATTTTAGTCTCCATTCATAACATTTTTGTTTTCTTTTATTCCTTGTTGTCTATTATTACAGGGAGTGAAAGGTAAAAACTAATTATATATATAAATTAAAATAGAATGATTTTAATTATAGAAACGAGGAGTGAAAGGAAAAAAAATAACTGTATATACATAGAATAAAATAGAATGATTTTAATTATAGGAATTAAAATGTAAAATTCATGAAAGAATAAAAGAATGATTTATCTTCTAATAAATTTTCACCTGTTTTCATTTTCTCATGGAAGTACAGTACACATAGGATGTGGGAGAGCCTATGATTTAGCTAGTCACAACTTACAAGTATTGAATTATACATTTGTTAACTGCAGCTGAGGCTTTGTTCACTTTCAAGGATTCACTTCGTGGTCCACGTCAATTTAGATGCAGCATTGTGAAATATCCATGCCAAATGCAATGGCCTTGTCTTGACTGCTACAAACCAAAAGATCCAGGTGCTTTTTTCTCAAATTCTCTGTAAGCTCCTTCTCTCCGTCTCTCTGTATCTGTGTGTAGTGATTGATTTCAGAACTGAGTAAAAGATTGGGATTCACTCTAGAATTTAGTTGCTCAGGATATTCATCATTATGACCATACTTGGGTTAGGTAAAAAGATAAAATGATGTGGGAGAGTAATTTGTTATCCATACTTGTTTTTCAATTTTTGTAACTTGAGGTTAGGAATGTTAAACAGTTAAATACGTGTGCTTTGGAGAAATTATCATGTGGTCGACTACTTGATCTCTGATTAATCTTTATATGACCTGTAGTCAAGTATTACTATTTTCTTCTCATAATGCATCATGTAGAGGTTCATTGAGATTATAGACAATAAGGAGCCTGGATTACCTAACACTTTCTCCCTCTTTTAATTCTATGATAAAACTTTTCACTTTTCACTTTTCACGTCAAATGTTTTCCTTGGAAAAATTCCAGCTCAATCATAAGAATGGTAAGAAAAGCTCTCTACTTGAGAAACAGGTGGAATAACAGCAAAGATAGATGGGAATAATGACATTCCAACATTTACACCTCTTCGAGAAACTCAAGTTAGAAAACCAGGAGGAACAAGGAATGCTGCCATAGTTGGTAGTGTTGCTGCTGCCTTAATCATCATTGCTACTATGATTATTGTCTTTATCTGCCTGATGCGTGTTAAAAGATTTATGAGGCAAGCATCTGATGTTGCTTCTTCTATGCCCTCTCCCACATGTAAGTTAATTTAAAGACTTTAATCAGATTTCAGAGTTCTGGTTCATTTGGTTATAATTATTTTGGCATCATTTTTGACAGTTGAGATGGGAAGAGTCAACAACACGCTGCATGTTAATGATTTCTCTCCACATCATACGCAGAACACAAGGCAGTTAACAATTTTGGAACTAGAACAAGCTACACGAAATTTCAGTCAAAGTAATATTATAGGTGAAGGTGGATTTGGTTTTGTATACAAGGGCTTGCTTCAAGATGGATCTATTGTGGCCATAAAAAGACGTCTATTTGCTCTAACACGGGATTTCGTCCTTGAGGTAAAATGTGTAATGAAATGTCTTCTTTTTAATGTGTATGAAAACTAGCTTTCTTAGATGCAATATTGCAATATATGGTTCAGAAAGCTTTTACCAAGTATTTTGATTTCTTTCAACGGATGACAGGTAAAGCAGATAGCTCATATTCATCACATCCATCTTGTCAAACTTATAGGCTATTATGAAGACAGCTATCAACAATTACTTGTATATGAATATCTCCCTAACGGCAACGTAGGGTGTCACCTATATGGTACTATTATTCTCTTCTCAGTGTGATATTTGGAGTCTGATTGGATATAAGTTTAATAAAATTTTTAAGAATTTTTTTATTAAAAAAAATTATTAGAAAAATTCTTAAAAATTCTTCTAAACTCTTGATGCATGGGGTTATGCAATGTGCAGACAGTGAAGGTTTACCTATTGGAAGGTTAGACTTGAGGCGAAGGTTATCTATTGCTTTAGGCGCGTCCAAAGGTAAACCCATCTTGGTTATGATTTTTATTGTTTTCTTTTTCTTTTGGAAATTGGAAGTCAAAACAGTTAATTCAATCTCTACTTTTTTCAACAGGAGTGGAACATCTTCACAGTTTGGTCCCTCCTTCGGTTCACACCAATTTTAGAACTAGCAATGTTTTGTTAGATGAAAATTATACGGCCAAGGTTTCCGATTATGGATTCAGCAAATTGAAAACAAAAGTTGATCAGGCTGGCTCATCTTCAAATATAGACTGCTTTCTCGACCCAGAGTATGCTACAACTTACCCTTTTATGGAATCCAAATCATTTAAGCTTCAATATATACACCTTCATTTTACAAACACTACTTAACACCTTTTATTTATCACATCATATTTCTTGTCATATCTAAACTTATCTCTCTTTATGTGCCAATTAGTATTGAGGTGTCCACAAATCTTTTTCACTTTGTACTTTCCCTGATGATTTGAACTAATGGACTTTTAAATTTTCCACAAAGGTTGAGCTTTCCACAAAACTATTCGGAGAAGAGTGATGTATACAGTTTCGGGGTCTTCTTACTAGAGTTGCTTAGTGGTTGTGAAGCACATAACAAAAACATGACGAGCCCAGATGAAAATATAGTATTTCAGGTATGTATATGTATTATACGTGTTTCCAAAACTTGTTGGATTAAGATTTTGCCACCTTAAGCTTACTTGAATTAATTTGAAGGCAAAAAATAGCGTTGAGTTGGAGAACTTTGTTGACATAACGCTGGGAGAGGAAGAAAAGCATGGTGCAAGACGAATGATGAAGATGGCATTGTTATGTGTGGATATCACTTCTAGAAGACCATCAATGGCGCAAATTGTGCAAGAGCTGGAGCGGATTGAAAGAGAAATTGCTCCGATGTATTCTCAATTCAACGACGAGATTGGTGCCGTCACTCTTGGGAGTGAACTTTTTCAATAAGCCTTGCCATTTACATTATATAACGTGCTTGGAAACTCAAAATGAAAAAACAAAATGTTTGAAATGCTAAAGTTATAACTATTAGTTTGTCATTTTTAGCTACCATTTTTTTAGTGCACAATTATTATTGTTATGGTTATCGTAGTTTTAGGTATATTGGTCCTGGAAGGATATTCACTTGTAATTATTGCATTATTCAAAGTTAATAAAAATGTATTTATCTCTCTAATAAGCGGATCGAGTTATATCTCTAGTTATAAAAAAATAATATTGAAAAGAGTAGAATTAGATTGGATATTAATGGATCAATTTTATTTTTTTGTGGATATTATAAATCGGGTTAACTATATATTTTTAGTTTATGAAGTTTTTCAAAATTCAGTTTTTAGTCCTTAAACAAAAAGTTTGATTAATCAAGATCTTTCAACTTTTCTCATAAAATAATAAAAAATAATAAATTTTAATGTATATTTTAATATGTAGATATAGAAACTAACTTTTGTAATTTAATTTCATAATAAATTGTAATATATATAAATTCATATTAAGTCACACTTTTAGAAGAAAGAAAAAAAATATAATGCTTATTGAGTTTAATAAATATATTATATTAGTAATTAAGTATCATAATTAATAGTTTAGTATAAGTAAAATTGACTCTCCAATTACATCAAATACTATATTACTATGTTTATAAAGTATAATATGTAGTTAATGAATAAGTATAGAAATAAAGTGATAAATTATTATTATTTATATCCATTAATTTATTAATGTTATGTTAATGCGTATTTGAACTTTTCTATTTTAAAATGTTTCATAAACAATATATTTTAAACAGCAACAATAATATAATTTTATAATGTCTATTTTAATGTCTACATACTGTATAGGTACTTCCTCTAAATATATGTATAAGTAAAAAAATCAAATATTTTTAGACTAAAATATAAGCAAAATTTCAATTAAGTAAATTTTACTTGATATTCTTAATCTAAAAATACTCCTAAAGCAATTAATAGAAGTACTATCTACTATAAAGGTATAAAGGTGATTAAGAATATTTTTGAAAATATAGTGGATATAAAATCGTGAAAATTAAATACATTTTATTAACATAATATGATTATTTTTTATTTTTTATTTTTACATATAAGTCGAGAGAGTATCAATTCTACAGTAATTATAATTTTTTATTTAAACATAACAAATTTAATGAGCATCATAGTTACTTGTCAAATAAAATTAAATATGAAATATAATATACAGTTAAAAGGGTAACATTTTTAATGCATTAAAACATTTATTACATTAATTAAATGTAATAAATATGATATTTAATATATTAAAAGTAAAATCGAGTGTCAAATAACAAATACTATTTTTATTAAATATAAAACTTTAATATATAATTTGGCTCTTAATTTTTTAAAATCTTTTAATTAGGTATTTTAACTAAAATTTTCATTAGATCTTTCATCTTTTAATATTTTTGTAATTTAGTTCTTGAATTTATAAATTTGATTACAATTCATGAATTTTCATAAAGTTTTATTTATATTCTTATATCTAAATAACTACATTAGATTATTATTTCATGTCATCATTTATATGTATCATATTTTAATATATATTTGATAAGAATTATTGTAGAATAGTAAGAATTTTTTTATAAATAGAGATCAAACCCGATACATAATCAATAAATTATTTTACATAAATTAAAGAGATTTATATTATTATTACATGTATGATTTATTTTTAAATATATTATACTTAACAAATATCAAAACTATTTGGGTCAATCCAGTGATAAAAGTTGAGATAGAATACATTAAGTCTTAGCCTCTCATATTTTCATTGTAATTCCATAAATAAAAAATATATTTAACAAATATCATAATTAATATATTATAATAATTTGATTGGTAAAAAATATTAAATATTATATTTATTAAATATAATTAAATAGATGTTAAATACAACATACATTAAAAATAGTTTTCAAATGAAACAAAATCACCAAATGAATAATATACAAAACATATATATCATATATCATGACCTTCTAATATTAACATAAATATATATATATATAT